GTATTTTGGTTATGCAGCATATTGATACCATGTTTCGGATCAAATTTTACGGAGAATATTATAGAATAGTTCATATTACATCAAATGGTTAGTAAAATTCATGATTTTTAATTTTTTTTTTAAAAAAATAACGCTTTATGTTTATTTCATTTACTATTGAAAGATGGTTAAGTTGACTGTGGTGGTGTTTCGTTCTCTGAGCTGGTTGTTTTGGTTGCGGAGAACGAAACACTACATAGTTAGACCACCATTAGAAATCTAGAAGTGCGTCTCCATGACCAGCATAGGCAGCTAATGAAATCGAAAACCTTCTGTCTCGTTCACGAATAGTGTTAACGTCTAATTGTAATCAGTACACGGTATAGCACAACCTCAGTCAGGGTCTTCGACGTATAACTGTAGAAGCATTCTACTGATCATAGTTAGAAAGTACCATCCAGCGCCTTCAATAAAACTCAACAGTTACCACAACTCTATGATGAAAATGTACATATTCATTCGTATATTCGGTGTGTATGTTCAAAAGACACAATTAAAACAATGTAACGAGTCTTTCGGATAATCAAGTCACACACTGTATTTCAAAGTGTAGTATTTCTCTAATCACTGAAAAATAGATTATGAAATAATCATAATCTAACCTCCGAACCTCCATATTTATTTGTGATTGTTATCATTAGTTTACAATCAAAGTTGAAAAAGTAATTGTGATATCTGAAACATTTGAAATTCCCTTGTTGTGCTTCTTGACAATAAAATACAGTAATTTGGTTTTTAACTTCATTTTAATGACAAAGTGTGTAGAGTTTCTGAATTTTAAATTTATGTTTTGAAATAGTAAACGTAGTAATTGAATATTTGATTTTAATTGTGTGGAGATTTTTGATGATCCAACTGACATAAAGTGTTGCTTATTTTGTAATGGATATTTGTGTATCACAAATCGGACTCGGACTGCAGACCCTTCGGGGCTAATGCCGGGCACAAGCCGGGATAAAGGAAGAGGGTTGAGCATGGTGTTGGCGACCCAAACACACCAAAAAAGCTAATTTGCTAAAATAACGCTAACCAGAACAAATAATTCAAACCATTTAGACTCTGTCCTGGGAATTGGAAGAAGGATTATGACGTCTCATGATGAAAGCCAAGTTCCCTCGGAAGTTACGAGGCCGATGGCATTTCTCACAAACAGAGCAACCATTCTATTCAATACATGGAAAGTTCGAACATTGTGGAGAGTGGAAGACTATTTCAAGTTGCTGCAGATATGAGAAGGTATAACCTGGAGGTGTTTGGAACCAGCGAAACGCATTATACACAGGTAGGACAACTGAGACTTGCTTCAGGGGAACTGTTGTTATACTCTGGTCATGAAGAGGAAAACGCTTCACATACACAAGGAGTTGCACTGATGCTGTCCAAACATGCACAAAAGGCACTGTTGGGATGGGAATCTCATGGACCCAGGATCATTAAAGCATCCTTCAAAACACAGAAACAGGACATTACAATGAACGTCATCCAATGTTATGCACCTACCAATGACTACAATGACGACGTTAAAGATCAATTCTACGAAAGGCTGCAGTCAATCATCGAGAAATGTTCACCAAAGGATTTGACGATTCTTATGGGAGACCTGAATGCCAAGGTTGGAATGGACACACTGGATATGACAGACATCATGGGACGACATGGACTGGGAGAAAGGAACGAAAACGGTGAGAGATTTGCAAACCTATGTGCCTTCAACAAACTGGTCATCGGTGGCACAATATTCCCGCACAAACGCATACACAAAGCTTCATGGATTTCACTGGACCACACTACCAAATAGAACCAAATAGACCATATCTGTATTAATAAAATGTTCAGAATGGCCATGGAGGATGTGAGAATCAAGAGAGAGAAAAAAAGGCAGCAATCAACGTCAGCCGAACAAGAGCGGAAGAAGTTAACGCGCAAACTAAATACACGAAAAAATATGTGGAAGATCAAGCAATGACTGCGGAAAAGGCTGCAAGAGAAGGAAACTTGAGACAATTGTACGAAACAACAAAGAAGCTTGCCGGAAACTATCGTAAACCAGAACGAACAGTGAAAAGTAAGGAAGGGAAAGTAATCAGCAACACTGAAGAACAGCGAAATAGGTGGATAGAGCACTTTAAGGAACTATTGAATCGACCAGCTCCACTGAACACACCCAACATCGAAACAGCATCCACAAACCTCCCAATCGATGTTGGCGCACCTACGATTGAGGAGATCGGTATGGCAGTCGGAAAAATCAAGAGCGGCAAAGCAGCAGGACCAGACAACATTCCAGCAGAGGCAATGAAAGCACGTGTAGAAAGCAACTGTGAAAATAATTTCACATCCTCTTCAAGAAGATTTGGGATGAGGAACAAGTACCATCAGACTTGGAAAGAAGGAATACCTCATCAAAATACCAAAGAAAGGCGATCTCAGCAAGTACTAGAACTACAGAGGCATCACTCTTCCGAAAATTACCAAGAAAAGAATCCTACAGGGTATGTTTAAACAGAAATGAAGGTCTTGGTAGACGCTCGACTTCGAAATTCAACAGGCAGGATTTCGTATGGATCGACTACGAATTGCAACATTATGAATAAATTCGCCATTAGAACACATCACTCCGACGACTAACGAGAAGGCATTCGATAGCGTGGACAGGAAAACACTATGGAGGCTTCTTCGACACTGGCTCTTCCATTACACACAAGAACAAATGCAAGAGAAGGTGACCAGTGTAGCAGCAGACTCAACAGCTTCCCGTCTCCACATACACAAAGGAAAAAGCAGGATTCTCCGATACAACACAACATGTTCCAACCAAATCACTCCTGATGGAGATCCCTCAGAGGACGTTAAATCCTTTACATATCTGGGCAGCATCATCGATAATCAAGGTGGATCCGATGCAGATGTGACGGAGCGGATCTAAAAAGCAAGGGCCGCATTTGTACATCTGAACAACACCTGAAACTCAAAACAACTGTCAACAGTCACCGGAATCAGAATTTTCATTACAACTGTCAAGACAGTTCTACAGTATGGGGTGGAAACTTGGAGAACAACGATAGCCACCATCCAGAAGATACACGTGTTCATTAACAGTTGTCAACGCAAAATACCTCAGAACCGTCTGCAAGACACCATCAGCAACAACCTACTGTGGGAGAGAAGAAGCCAGATTCCAGCGTAGGAGGAAATCAGGAAGAATTGATGGTCGATGGCCTATGTTCCATTGGGAATAACAGGCGTACGGAAGTAGTGTGTAGTGTCACAAATCGTAACACTTGAAAAATGAATCATTTTAGTAACCGAACTGTATACATTATAACAGATACTTATCGGTAGTTGACACAAACTATTTTGAGTGGTTAACAAAAACTGTTTCAGTTAACTTTTCATAATGACAACTGTTTCAGCGTAATGGCAAAAGTAGGTATTCTTCATGTCACATTCAACTGAATCCAAGTGACAGAATAAGTTCTGCAGTAAGTAGTTTAAGTGATTTAACAAAACGGTTTTAATTTAAACTAGGAGAAGTGGATGAGTAGCTAGTAGTTAAAATACGCAGGACTCGTGTTCGGTCCTACTTAGAACTCACTAGCTCATTGTATCTACATCACAGAGTCGATAGTCTATCCAAGATGTGAAGGCAACATCAGGGCAATCTACACAGGATCGATCAATTGCAGCTGTGAACATCAATGAGCAACATTCATCCAACCAGCACAGATGTCACTTCAGTGAAATAATATCACCTCATTTGTGTAATCATTGGTTTCAAACGATTGTTGTGTATCGGTAGAGCAATATACTCGATATTTGTACATTTTTTTCCGTAGAAAATACACACATAGTCAGAAACGAACTGTTCTCGTCTATTACATAATAATCATTCTTCAAAATTCAATAAAAAATATTTTGAAAAATTTGGTCACCGTCAGAATTCAAACAAATGAAAACTTTTTAATGAGATCAAAGTAAAACATGTCTCAGACCGAAATCAACCTTCTTATTGAATGAAATTCCTTTTAATTTATTTAAAAAAATATTTTCTTTTTTTCAAAAGATTTTTAAACCAATTTTTAAAATGCAAAAAATAGTTTTGAATAATTTGTAAATACCATAATGTTGGTTGACCTGATTTCGAGAAATCGTTCATACAAATAGACATGAGAATAAAGAGTGTACAAGCAAAGGGAAGCGAAGCGAACTGCAAAAAGCCAGAGAGCCAACTCAACGTGATGAAGTACGACCAAGTATTTATAGTCAGACAAAAATAATCTATCATTTTTAGACCACCATTCGAAACCTGAAAGCACTGGACGGCCGTTTCATCCTGGTTTGGGACTCATCAGTA